TTATAAAGTTTAAACTACATTAATCACCAAATTTTTTTTTTAAACATTTAATCAAAATTCATAAACTGTATTCTGCTTTCCATTCTACATCGATATCAGAACGTCACGGGTTCTGAAACGTAAGCAGTGACGCCATGCCAGTCTCGCTGGCAGTAAAATTTTAATATATCCTTTAAATACTAGCAAAAACCTTCGGACCAACAGCCTCATGTATTTAAAGAACTTGGACAATACAGTTTGAATAAATGAAAGCAGAGTATTTTCGATGTTCTGCTGTTTTTCTAAGAAGGGTTTTTAGCACCCCGTAAATGTGCTAAAGATATACACAACTGTTAACCCAAATGTATTATTTAAAGGAAAATAATGTTTATGCTAGGGTTTCAGTTCTCTGAGATTATAATGTAATATTATAATAGTGAGCCAAATATACTGTTTAGTTGCCAAAATCATACAACTATTTAAAAAATAATATTTTAATAAATATGGTTCCTCAATGCTCCTTACTTTGTCACTAATAAAAGCATCCATAAAGACCTTAATGTTCCTTATATTTCCGAATTGGCCCAATCCAGATACCTATCCTTCCATAATAAACTTCAGAACCATCCGAACCCTCTCGTTTCTAACCTTGCTTCTTATTTGATCCCTGATAATCCTCCGAGGCGTCTGAAAAGAAGATGCCCTCGAGATCTTCTATTGTAAATACATTTTTTTTTAGACTGCTACCAGTGGATAGTTTCTCAACAAGTGTTTTCATGTTTTTATTTTCTGTTATCACATTTACTTAATGTATTCTTTCTTAATACAGTTGTAAATATCATAAATTAAAAAAAATAAATAAATAGGGTGAAAGCACCTTTAAATGTAAATAATAAGCTTCCTTGTTGATTTAAAGGTTCATAAATACATGTAACATTGAAGAACAATGCCCTCTATTGACAACTATATGAACAAAGTTCCCAAAAGAAAATTTCAAAAAGCCTATCATTGTTGTTTCTATAGTGCTCTTGATATCAGTGTGTTTCATACCTTCCTACTAACAGTTTTGCTAAGAGTATGTTGAATAATTATATTATTATGATAACATAAATGTTCAACTTAGAATAGAGATAAGCTATTGTTATCGTTATAGTTAAATAAATATTTTAGAATTTTTCAGTGGTATGTCTATTACTTGTACCGATCCTTTGTCAATTACTAGAACAATTGAATTTGGGTGTGTCCATCACTAGAAGGTGTTTTTTTTAAAATGTAGATTATACCTGTATAACTGAATATTTTTTTCATTTTAAATTGTTAAATAGAAATATGAGACCCTAGAGATTCTAAATATCCAACGGAGAAGTTTATAACTGTTAGCGTTGCCCAAATGCCAGACCGAGACGGGTCTTGGTCTTGCAAACTCAGTCTTGGTCTTGCGCAAGAGTCTTGCAGTTACTTTTAGCTTATTACTATAGAGATATCACTGTAATTTTTTAGATAGAAGAATCCTAACTAAGCCCGAATGAAAAATTAGAGGAGTTAAATGTAAAAGTATATTGGTTAAACCAATTATTAACATATAGTAACTAAAATTGTTTGTAAAACTATTTTGCCTTAATTTTTATTTAAAAAATCGATTTCTCGCAACAGTCTTGCAGTTACTTATTAGCTAAGGAGATATTACTGTAATTTTTTAGATAGCAGAAACCTAATTAGTTAGAGGCTTAGGCCCGAATGAAAAATTAGAGGAGTTGAATGCGAAAGTATGTTAGTTATATCAATTATTAACATTTAGTAATTAAGATTGTCAAGTATTATTAACTATTTTGAACTAATTTTTATTTTGAAAATAGATTTTTTCTACCCGTCCTGGTCTTGGTCTTGCAACAGTTAAGCGGCCTTGGTCTTGGTCTCGCAAACTGCAAGACCAGGACCGATTTTGGGCAACACTAATAAGTGTAGTAATTACGGAGCCTAAGCCAAAAAATACATACATTTCCTTAGCTATGTCTATCACTGGTGCTCTTACCCTACGAATTTACGGTTAAATAATATCACTAAGGCTAACATAAAAAAGTATATTTAGTACAGCTTCATTTTTTAGGTCATTAACCTATAATTATAACCTGTAATAATGACCTCAAATTTAAGGTCTATAATTTTCGTTTGAAAATAAAATAAAAATAAGTATAGTCTTGTCATTGAAAAATCATCCTTAAGCAGAAAATTCACCCTTACAATCCATGAAAATTTCTTCCAGTTGAACTAATAACAACAATAAGTATAAAACCAAAACAATGTGTAAAATCGATGATATGCAGTATCTTTTCGATTAAGAACATTTTTGCAAAAATCTCAAATATGTACCTAATTTAAATTCTCATTTTCAGTGTCTTACGTATTTTTCATTTTGAGTTTTGCTGTACAGACCTTCTCAGCGAAACATCGTTATTTCAACTCAGGAACCAAAAAACATGTTTTCTTGAAATTGGAAATTTTAAACGTATTTCTCTTGAAAACTCTGATTCAAAATTATATATTTTATATTAGGATTAGAGAAAGTAAAAAATATTCAATATACATTTGAAAACAAAAATATTTTTTTGAAAAAAAATTCTTCTGTCTAGTTGGTCAGTAAACCTTAATTGAAAAATAAATTAAAATTAACTATAATTTTTCCGTCACATACAACTTTTTTTCTGAATATAAAAATCATTTCCTTTTAAGAATAGCTATTCCCACATTAAAATATAGTATTATTCGTATTTTTTTTCGCTGACGAAAGAATAATTATTGCTGATTGCTGTACGATGAAAAACGTAAACTGGCCATTTTCGTAGAATATACTGAAGTAGGCTCATTGCAGTTATCCTTATAGGGTCAAAAACATTTTAATTTAACTTTATAAAAGTAGAGAAAAAATATACTTTAAAATTACAAACCGCGAGTTTATTACAAAATGTCATGAAGTAAGATTTTATAAAATTAAATTACCAAGTTCTTTGATGAATTTCCTTTCTATGAAATCAACACACTTAGATATTTTTAAAAACATAAATAAATATAGATAGAAAGTAAGCTGAATATAAATGTATAAAGTAAATTATGAATTAACATCACTGAGGTTATAATAAGGTTTCATCCAATGGATCGATATAAAAAAAAACAACATCGACCGCAAAAAGCTGATAGCTGTCAGCTGTCGCTGATTCATTAGATGAACAAAGAAATGTGCTGAATTCCATCTATATTTAACATTGATGAATTTAGGAACGATCTGATTTCTTGGGTTGTATAGAGTTTCTGATGTCTTCGATGAGCTCAGCGCTTAGTTTAGAACGTGACAGTTATATTCTACATACCTACCTTATTACTATTACAATAGTTTTAATAATTTAATTCTATGTTATTATAATTTAGGTATGAATCTTTTCCCCCCCCCCCTTATATTACTTCTAAACAGCTGTTTAGTATAACCTTCGTCTACTGTGTTATACAACCTTCCGTTTCTTTCAGTATCAATTTAGATGGCTTAGTAAGATGTCGCTAGTATTATTTTTTTCTTTTCTTTCTTTCCTTTTATTCTTTTTGCATTTTTCTTGTTTTTTTCCACCCTAATAGTGCCTGAATTAGCGAAACGTTGGGAGGTTAACTGATCACCTCTATGATTGAGAATCAAGGCTTTTTAGTTTGGATTTTTTCTAATTATATTCTAATTACGTTATGTCTATTTTGAGCATACATCATTTATAGTAATTTTACTATTATATTTTTTTTTAAAATGCCATCTTTATATTTCTTCTAAGTACCGACAAAAAGCGAGCGTAATGTCGAGAAGTAGAATTTGCAGTAAGTCTTTTGGTAGGCGTGAGGGAGGGTTTTTTTCCGGTTTTGATTTTAATATTTATAGTTGTCGTAAACCAACGACTTCCTGTCTTACAGTTTCCTTTAACAATACTCCACTTATCCCTGTTGAGCAAATCCGATACCTAGGACTCCACTTGGACAAACGACTAACTTGGAATCCTCATACTAGACTGAAACGACAAGAAACCGCTCGACGTTTCCGATTACTTCAGCACTTACTAGACAAACGCTCTAAACTTCCCATTAATTACAAAAGACTCATATACTTGACTATAATAAGACCTATTTGGACTTACGGAGTTGAGCTATGGGGCTCCACTAAACCATCGAATTCCTCTCGCATCCAATCTTTACAATCCAAAATCCTTCGTAAAATCCTCAATGCTCTTTACTTTGTCACTAATAAAATTATCCATAAAGATCTTAATGTTCCTTATGTTTCAGATCTGGCCCAATCCAGATACCTATCCTTCCATAATAAACTTCAGAATCATCCCAACCCTCTCGTTTCTAACCTTGCTTCCTCTTCAATTCCTGATAACCCTCCGAGGCGTCTGAAAAGAAGATGGCCCCGTGATCTCCTAATGTAGTCATATCATTAGAGTGCTACCATTGGGTACTTACTCAGCAAGTGTATTCATATCATTATATCAATTATGTCCAAATTTACTTGATGTATTTATGTAATACAGTTGTAAATGTCATAAAGAAATAAAAAAATATATATATATTTATAGTTACTGGAGGTGATCCCTCATCCTGCTTCTTTTCAGCCTCCGACTGGTTTTATCGGAAATGTTGGTTGTGGCAATACTTTGAATCAATCAGTTGGCATGTCCGTGTAATTTATTGTATAATCTTTTGTAATGTGTTCTTATACCTAGTCCTCTCATATATATTGTTAGATGGAAATATAAACAGATTTGACAGAAAGATTAATTTTATCAAAATCTTTATTAGAAAATAAAATGTATATCTATAGAGAGTAAAACAAAAAAAGAAATTACTCAAAATGTCCCCCTTTTTGTCTAACTTCTTGAGGAGAGCGCTAAACTGTTCGGACCAGAGATTGTTTGAGGCTTTCCAAGCTAGGATGTGCTCTGTGGCATGCCATCCTCTCCAGTTCGGACCCAAGGCCTAGTGGGTTGAGATCAGGGCTTCCTGGGGACCAATCCGAGGCAGAGATGAACTCTGGAATGTTCTTTTGCAATCACTGCTAAGTTGAACTGGCTTTGTGAGCTGGAGCAAAATCCTGCTGAAAAACCCAATGACTTCTAATAGAGTATCATTTAGAGACTTGACAACAGGTTCCAAAATATCGTCCTGATAGTTTTTAGAGGCTGTTTTAACTTCTTTTTCACAAAAATTGAGCTTTGTGGTGCCATCAAAGCAAACGCCCCACGAAACCACCACTGAGAAAAGGTGATGATCTTTTCCACTCTTCCAATGACTTCCTGCACTTGTTTAGAGCTGTGTGCGTACTCACGATCATTTTGGCGATTAAATTTTTCTTCAATTATAGAAATTTTCTCATCGCTAAACAAAATCTTTCGATGAAGACCATTGGTATAACGGCCAAGGAGCACTTTGCATCTATCAACTCTAATTTCTTTTAGGGAAATGGTTAGCCTTTGTCCTGTCATTCTTCGAAATGCATTCATCCTAAGATCCCTTTTAATTATGCGAGACATTGATCTGATAGAGACTTCCATTTCTCGAGACATGATTTTTTGTTTTCGAATGGGATTTTTTCTGATTCGAGCCACTACTCTCATTGGATTTGCCGTTCTCACAGAGCGAGGGCCGGTCGAAAACTGTCACATACAGATAGGGTCTCATTATACCTATTTATAGCGCGGTACACGAACATACGGCTGATATCCAAAATTTCAAAGTGTTGAAAATATCTGACCTACATTTTCCAACTTCCAACTTAGTGTAAGGCGATCACAGCAATTCGGTTTTCTTTATTACCCCACTCCATGTTAACTGAGCAAAAGAAAAATGCGAATTAATTGGGATTATCACCCTGACATGTAAAAAAAAAATAACCTTATAGAGGTAAGGATTATCTAAATAATACCCAAGGATGTAAACAAAGTTCAACTTTCATAATTGAGGGAGCGGGGTGGCCGAATGGGCTAAAGCGTGTGCACAGCACCGCGAGTTGCCCGGCAACCAGATATATAAACTTTTGAAAGTCAAAAATAAGTACGAGTTCACGTCCCGGTGCCGGAGGGGATTTTAAATTCCCCGCCCTCACCCTCTGGCCCCGGGAAATCCCGTATAGCCCAAATTGCAAGGTAGGGAAGAACAAAAAAAAATTTTTTAAAAAATTAAAATAAAAAAATAAAAAGTTTTATAATAGTATTTATGGCAGAACTAGGCATGGTCGTTAACTGTTGGTTTCTGTAAGTCCTTATGTAAAGCAATGTTACTAACCTATTAGGGAGACTTATAGGTATAGTGTTGAATGTTTTTGATTGAAAAGTCTGTAGTTTTCTGTATAATTCTATAGTCAAGCTTCAAATTGACTTATGTAAGCAAGTGTATGTATTATATTTCTGTCTAAGTTTTAATTTCGAACGTCTTGAAAGGAGTGAATATAGCAATCGTATTCTTTGGTTTAGTGTTTTTGTTTTGTTCTTGATATGTGGGAAACATGTCAGTGTCTGTCAAATGTCAGCCCAAGATATTGAACTTTATAATATCACCTATAAAAATTTCACGACTGGTGCAAACCTTGAAAAATTCGACTCAATCAAGAAAAATCACAACATGCTACTTTTACCGTTCGATGTGAATCATTATATATGTACCTGTTATATACCTTGACAATGCCCAAATTTCCCAGACAGAGAAATAAAATTAAATATATATTTTTAAAATCCATTGATAGATACAGAAATTTATTTTCCAGAGACAGAGCAACGAAGTGAGGAGAAGCCAGTCTAGAGAGAGAGTAGATAAGATACAGGGATTGCTTCCATTGTTGACACCGAACGCCCACTGTCAGTATTTCCTCTGTTCGCCTTATATCGAGGGATCGTTCACATTTCGACCCATCGATATAACATAGCAAACAACTCTCTTAAACTGCCAACTGTATTGGATACTTGTATAGTGAAAAAAATTTCTGAAATTTGAAAAACCTCGAAAATTTCCTTTTCAATGAGAGCCTATTAGTACTCCACGTAGGAAATCGAAGACCAAATATCATTATTGGCCTATCGATACCATCAAAATATAGACCTTGAAATATCGATAGTCGATATTTTCATCAATACTATATATCGATAAGGGTTTAAACGTTGGTTCAAATAAAAAAAAAATAATTAAAAAAATTATAATGACTGCGTCCTGAATATTTATACCCACGATATAATTATTGATTCTCTAACATATTGGAGCGTGTAAAAAAGTGTTATTTCTCTTTTTAAATTAATTAAATCCGATACCTTCGACTTCCCTTGGACAAACGTCTAACTTGGAATCCTCATACCAAACTGAAACGACAAGAAACCGCTCAACGTTTCTGACTACTCCAACACTTACTAGACAAACGCTCTAAGCTTCCAGTTAATTACAAAAGACTTATATACATGACTACAGTAAGACCTATTTGGACTTACGGAGTTGAGCTTTGGGGCTCCACTAAGCCATCGAATTCCTCTCGTATCCAATCTTTACAATCCAAAATCCTTCGGAAAATCCTCAATGCTCCTTACTTTGTCACCAATAAAATAATCCATAATGACCTTAATGTTTCTTATGTTTCAGATCTGGCCCAATCCAGATACCTATCCTTCCATAATAAACTTCATCCCAACTCTCTCGTTTCTAACCTTCCTTCCTATTCAATTTCTGATAACCCTCCGAGGCGTCAGAAAAGAAGATGGCCCCGTGATCTCTTAATGTAGACATATCATTAGAGTGCTACCATTGGGTAGTTTCTCAACAAGTGTTTCATGTCATTATATTTATGTACGGATTTACTAGATGTATTTTGGTTTATTATTTTCTATAATCAACCATTGTGATCGACCAAAAAATTCAAAAACTTAACCCCCTCTCAAAATTTGAGGTTTCACGTTTCAGGATGCGTAGAATCCGAAAAACGAATAAAAAATTTCTTGTCCGTCCGACGTCCGCTGTCCGTGCATTTTGTCCGAAACTACTAGACCGATTTTTTTCAAATTTAGATATAAAATCAGAGGTCACCCGAGGATGACCCTCCTTCATCGACATTACTATCCGCCTTTTACTTTCGAAATGGCGGCCGAAAAACGAATGTACCGATTTCAATGAAACTTCGCTAAAGTGATTTTCTTGACGCTCTTATTAATTTATCGATATAACATACTTCAACGAAAAGAAGCTGGAAAAAAAGTTACGAGGGATGGTAAAATTTAATTCCAAATAACTCAAAAAGTATACACTTTTTATGTGTTTTTTTTTAAAGTTTATGGAATTTCCTAAAAAAAAAAATATCGTTAAAATCGGTCAATTAGGAGCAAAGATATGGTCTCCAGGTTTTTTTTATATGTTCTACTCCTGATGTTACATCCTTTGTTTGGTTTTTAAGTTTTGAATGTGTTACTGAAGTAATGCTGTTTTTTTTAAGCATATTACTAATGATTAAAAAAAAAAGTTCAGTCCAAGAATTGGAATCATCTTTTATTTATTTTCCTTTGTAACTAGGAAGGTAATGTTACTTTAGATGTATAGTTGTTTGGAGATAATAAACCATTGTGAAATAATTTGCAGCGTTTTTTTATATAGTTGTAAATATCATAATAAAAAAAAAAAATGTTTTTCCCTTTTTGCCTTTCTAACAGTCTGACACGTTACGATACAATTTAGAAGAATAGCTCACTATAAAGACGATGAAATTATAAACAATTCCATCACTTATGGTATGCAGATCCGATTTTTACTTTGTGAGGTATATTAATCCATATGCAAAAACATTTTAATTAGTCAACTCCAACTGACTATATCCGAGCGTTACACATCGGTAATCTGACGGCTATCTGTATCAAATGCACTCTCCACAAAAATTGTAAAACGAGCCTAAAGAAGTTTTCAGTTCAAAAATGGAATGATGGAATGAAATGATTGTCTTCAAGTCGCTTCACTCCATCGTTCTGTTAAGTAGTCCTTATGACAAAACGAGAAGTCACTCCGTTGCTATGGATATACTAACTAATGAGTGCATATTGTTATTGTTATATTTTATCAATGAAAGTATTTCTATTGATGGCGAGGAAGCCAGAGAAGATTTAAACCGCTGTAGTAATTAAGAGGAGGAGAAAGAATGACGGCGTGGGCAGGCGTGGGGGTGAGGTTACATAACCAGTGTGGGCTACCCGGAGCTGGCACATCTGTCTTCTCCGGGGCGGCCATTTTGGAGGAAGATATCAATGGGCAGTGCTTCATTCAAAAGTATTCCATCATTTTGTCGATTCCTTATAAGCTTTGAATGAGTTCGATTCCTCTCCGAGTTTGGTGTCCGATCAATCAGTTCCACACTTGAATGATGCTTTGAAGTCTCTTAAGGACCTCTTCATAAGCACAGACTTCGGTTGGAGGAATAAGGGGGGCTATTGACCCAATAAAAATAGAGAGGAAGGAGAATATCGTTTCGCTCCCCTCTCCCAATATTTCCAAAAACTGAAATAAAAATAAACAGCATTTGCTGATGACAAAGCTGTCTCAAGTAGCACTATGAATGCAAAAAAAAGCTATGCAGCAGGCGGAAACAGCTTGTGAAAAAATTGCAGAACAGCTAAAAATTCTAAACATAGATGTTAATCCTGAAAATACGAAAGGAATTATATTTTCATACCATAAAGGAAAAAATAAAATGCCAAATGAATTCAAAATTAACAACAACAGTATTAAATTATCGGCTGACTTAATATATTTCGGTATTAACTTCGACAGACATTTAAAATTTACTAGACATTTTGACAATTTTTTTTTTTTTTTTTTATCTGTTTATTGAGAAATGATACATTTTGCCACACTTAAGGGCACTGAGTATTAAGGCTGAGTGAGGCACGTTCATACCATATATACAATACAATAAAAAATAAAAAAAATATATACATCTATATAACAACGGCAAAAACTATAATAAACCAAGGAAATGTAACTTAGAGTTAAAATTAAATGAAATACAGAAATTCGTAGCAAAATTAAATAAATTATAAGTAATAGAAATAAATAGAAAAACATTCATACTTAAATAAAATCTTTACAATCAGGCAAGAGACCTCCGAGTCCAGCCCTTTCCCCCACGTGTGAAGGACAAAGCGAGACTCTAAGAGATCCCAGCGCTTCTCTCTCAACCGCGTCGCCGGCATTACCAGTCCGGTGGAGACTGAGAGAGGGCACTAAAACCACAAACACTCATGACTTGAGTGGAGAAGCTGGCCATTGCCAAAACTCCAGTGACGTCTTTACAAGAGATCTCGAGGCCATTGCCGCTTCAACCTTCGAGGAGGGTTGTAGGGATGACTGGAGCTAGATAAGGATTGTGCTAAGGGGTTAGGATGGTGGATTAGGTTCATGTGAAAATTTGAGAATCGGGATGGTAGGGTTTTGTTTGTGACGTAATAAGGAGTATTGACTAACATACTGAGGACTTTAGACTGAAAGGATTGGATGCGTTTGATGTTCGAAAATTTAGTTGTTCCCCACAGTTCAAGTCCGTAGGTCCAGATGGGTTTGAGTATGGTCTTGTATATTAATAGTTTGTTTTCTATTGATAGACTGATTTTTCTGTTAAGTAGTCTGTATAGCTGGCCAAATCGTCGGTAACAACAAAATTAAAACAGTAAGATCGAACTCCAAAATTTAATTAGGACAACAAACCTATCTTTACGCCTAAAGCTTCTAGTCTATACAAGTATAATACGGCCGGCTCTGTTCTATGGTGCGCCTCTGTTCGAACATATCAGCAAAACTACTGGGAAATTATTACAATATTTCCAAAATGGAATAATTAGAAAAATAGTCAGAGGAACCACGATGCAGAGAATGAAGACATTGGATATTCAAGCAACACTAAATTTATCAACAATAAAAAAAAATTATTTTTCGAAAACTCTCAACAATTGGTAAACCCCCTTTCCAACAACTTATTACCAGTCCAAATTCCAAAACGTTGGTAACAACTCACATGAGATAGGTGTTTTATTAATTTAGTTGTAAGCTCTAGAGGATAAGGTCAACTCAAGCCTGAGGTGAGCCCCATCACCGATTATATTACAGATGTAGAAAAATAAAATACACCTTACAATGCTTTTAAGCAGTAAAAGGACTATTATGAAGACAATGAAAATCCAAGGATTCAAGTCAAAAATAAATAAAAAGGAGCTATGAAAAAATAATCTACATGCATATGAGCAAACTACAGGATAAACGAGGTGGGCGATTACCTTCCCATCAAAATGTTGATGTGGCAAAAATATCGTTTCCCTCCTCCCCCCCTCCAAAACAAATTGAAGTAAAATCAAAATCAAAATTGATAACAAATAAACTACATGGATGAATAAAATATGTGAACTAAAATAGATTAAGAAAATTCGACTAGCTAACTAGGCTAAGGCCTAAAACTGTTTTATCACGACCTAAATATTCCTATTATGTAAATTTTCATTCATATTAAGGAATGATTATACAGAAATATTTCATAGAATTTTATGATTCATTCACATCTCATGTATTCACCTCTATTTCCAACTGATTTTCTACGATAGGTTTGGAAAAAATATATTTAATAAGTAAAAGTATAAATATATTTCATAGAGAATATTTTTATAGACATTTTTACATCACTTGTTAGAGTGTGAAAACATTTTAAGGTTGTGCAAACTAAGAAATCAAAAATATTTTTCGGGTGTTTAACATTATTCATTTTTAGCTGGAAAAGTACCTAGAAATGTACCTATGTTATGAAGACTGTCTTCCTACCTTCCATGTTTAATGAATACAAATTTTAATAAATCTTTTTGGTCAGATATATTCAACAATATTACTTGCACATAAAAAGTTTTACAACTTCTAAACATGGATATAAATTTATTTTTAAATATTCAATATTATATTTGCTCGTTTCACAATAATCATATTGAATTTTTACTTTTTTTTCGCCCCTCTCCCAATCGAAATGAAAAGGCTGCGACTACGCTTGATTGAATTAAGAACTAAAGTCAATTGATAAAAGTCTACTAGATGGCTAGTGCTTAGAAGTAAGTACGCAGTATTTTACCACAGTCTATATTCCTATTATTAAAACTTTAGAATATATATTCAATGGAAATTAATTATATGTTGCAACATATACTGGGATTTTATGATTCGCTCATATGCACTATTCCATTGTTACGTGAACATTTAATGACATTTCCCGCGGCAAATATGAAGAATCGAAGAATTGAGTTCATCTTACAGCCTTAAACCTTTAATGGTTCCATTTCGATTTTTTTTTTTGTAGAAAATTTGGTAATATTTTAATTATCCATGGATTTAATCCACCGTAAATTGCATAATTTTGCTGTTATGGCCAAATCAAGTTTGTTTTTATTTATATCGGTTTTTTTCTGAGATGTTGGGGATTGTGTTAAGACAATCTTTAAAATGATGGTCCAATAATTTGAAGTAGTGATGGTATGGCGAAATAAAAAAGTAATATATATTGTATTTATTTCTAACGATGGGGACTTTTCAACCGCATTGGGGTTATGTTAGTTCTTACACAATGTTTATATTTCACAATATAAAAAATAACAATAAATCTGAAGATAGAAAAAATTAACATTTACAAAAAAAAAAAAAGGAATTGTAAAAAGTTGTGTTTTTTAATGAATTAATAAATTGCTCTTTTTCAATTTCAGCAGTATTATTTTCCAACTCCCCTTCATTCCAATGTCGTTTCTAAGCACAACGCTCAGTCTAGATGTGTATCATCGTATTTACCATGCTGGAAAGAAATTTAATAGTTTTTCAATAGTTCATATGTTAGCCTCGAATGTCCAATTCGTAGCTTTGCTAGGCTGATCTCTTATGTTATTTTCAGGTGCACTTGATTTGTATCTACACTGGAAATTGTAATTTTTAAAAGCATCAGAATCCATGACACCAGTGGCGTCAAGATTTCCTATCGCAGGTATAAGATGGGCTCAAACGGTAACTGGAAAACTGAACAATTTAGAGCATTCAAAATTGTCAAAGTTATCCTTTAATATATAAAAATCAGAAATTATGAAAGTAGTTTTCGAAAAACATGCCTGTAAAAATGATAATTAATATTTAATAACACTTCGTTGAAAACAATATTAGAAGCAATAATACTTAAATTACAATAGATTGTATCTTTGTAAATGAGGGTCAGATTTCCCTGGTTTTTTCTTAGTTTTGTAGAAGATTTAGTAAATTTTCAAATCGTAATAGGTGGATGTTATTATGATTCGTCACTACTCCATTTAATACCCTTTCGTTTAATACTTCATTCATCAACATACATCGCCCCTGAGAGCCGGAAAAGGAATTATTACGGCGAAAAACTGATATAATACTAAAATATAACTTCGTATTATATTATAAAGATAGATTTATTTCGGAAGCAATACTCTACATTAATTTATCATCATTACTCTTAAACCATTACTTGTGTGGCTAAATTCTGTGTTTGTGTGTGTGTGTGTGTAAAACTAAGCACTTCAAATAGTAATTCTCGTTGCACTAGTGCCTTTTAGTCACTGTCAATCAAGTCCTGCTGGATTTTTTCCCCAGTCAAATAAGAATTTTCTTTTAAGTCAAAGACTTAACGACAATATGGAGTTGTCCGTGTCGAGGACGTCCCGCCCACATAAGTAAAATAATTTATTTAAATTGCGAATTCGTATTCTTAAACATATTCATTCTCTGTTTCCTTTAAAATTTTTCATCTTATAATTTTAGTTGCAACACCTATTTCTAATATTGTTCTATAAAAAATTAATCTATCTAGATTACCATACTCAGTTCCAGCAGCATAACTGTATTTAGCCATAATGTTATGATTCTCTTTTTATACAACGTTCATATTATTCGGTACATTTTATGTAAACCCAAGTCAAGAGGACGAATAAAAAGCAAGAACCTTTTGATTTGATTTCCTTTTTAGTACTTTAACTTATCAATATAAAGTAAAGGAAAGTATGTTAAGTACATCAGTGATTGATATAGCTAAGCAATTTTTTTTCTTATGCTGCGGTAATTATTATAATTACAAACTTCTGGATATTGGACATTTGGAACCTCTAGGGTCATCACCGATTAAAAAAACATTTTTTGCACTAGTGATAAACACCCCGAAATTCAATTGTTCTAATAATAGACAGAGGGTCGGTACCAGTAAAAAACATGCCTCAGAAAAATTCTAAAATCTT